ATTTATATCAATTAATGATATATTACATCTCTGATATATTTTTGTTAATTATTATATAAAATTTTGGATTGATAAATTTAAATAATTAAAAAGGTGGTGATTAAATATAAGTAATTTAAGTTTAAAAAATTTGAAATTACACTTAAGTTCAAATATAGAACTTAGAAGTATAGTTAAGCCACACTTTTACTTTTTAATATGGTGCCCAAACACCTAATTAAGGTGGCCAGCAGCTGCGTCGGCATGTATATAATATGAACGTTTGATTCACCAAGACCCCAAAAAGAGTTAGAAAGAAAAAAACTACGCATATTCAATTAAGATTTCACAGCTAGCGGTTTAATTAATCATTATGATGCACGTTGAACCTTCTTTTAACATGATTTTATTGACTTTAATTTTGTTAAGAACTCTGATTAATGACTTTTGACCACTGTCTGCCTCCACAGTACTTAGTTCTCATGCCTTGGCGGCAGAACCTTTAGTAATTTGTCTACAATGTGTGTAGTGTGAACATGCAAACTTAGGCATCTTTCATGTCAATATCTGGAATCTGGCAAAATTATGAGGTTTAGATCAATTCTTAATTAGCCGACTAGTTTATACGTTCGTCCGTTTAGATACACATCAGCAGCAGCGAAGACTGTACTTCAACATGATACTTCATATTTTGCCATAAGAAACTTAATGATTCATATTTTTATACTGTTGAAACATATGGACTATTATTACTTGTGATATTTTTATTGTATGAAAAAAGAATAAAGTATATCGTTTGAATAATTCGTTTATTATGAACCTTGATAGAGTAAATAGTTGGCGACAGTGTGCATCTATAGTAACAGTGATTCTTAGATTATGTTTTGTTACAATTAAGGCTTTAATATAATTTTAATTCATACATATATATTTAAATTAATTTCAGTCTCCTATTTTTTCATATTTATTTTAATCTATAAATGTTAATTAAAAATAATTATTTCCTATATCACTTTATGATAACATGGCATGCATTTTATCATCTGAGGTTAATATATTTATTCTAAAGAGATAAATGATATAATATGTTTAAATGTATGCAGCATTATTAACAAGTGACAATATGGATTATCTTAAGGAAAAAATAGAATTTATGAATACTTATTTTTTTTTTTATAAAAAAACTAAAATTAAATCGAACCACAATTATTAAAGCAGCTCATATTTTATATTAAATTTTAATACTCGCTTCAAAAGACCATGGAAATACTTTTATCAGAAATAAAATAGCATAATAGACAATTTATCATTATTATAATAGATAATTAAAAGTATTATTATCAGAGGAAAATTTAAAAAAGATATGTAACAGTAAAATTTATCTTCATGCCATATGGTTTGATAATTTGACTTTGATTTTTTGTTCATAAAATAACATTATTGTATTCTTAAATGATCTGACCCATTACATATTATTTTACCATTTAGCTTAACGATTCATTGGTGATTGTTCGCATAAAATGGATTGTAATTTTATATGAATTCTGTTTGTGAAATAATTATGAGAAACATTGGTCTTAAATATGAAGAAGAAAAGCTCCGTGGCTCGACGGCACAGCCCTGCGAAATTTGATGATAGCGCGTGGACAACACATGCTAGCTGTGACTCGAGGAAATTTCTTGTCAAAAATTGACATAATTTTAAGATTTAGATCAATTTTCGCCGACTAGTCATTCATCGCCAGTAGCAGCTACACCAAAGCACTTCAAGTACGATGTAGTTATGCACTGTTGAATTTTTTCTTGACGTGAGCTGTCACTAACGCTGACGTTTTTGTTTTTGGTGTCCAATATTTACGGGTAGGGTAAAGGTACTCTTGAGGAGAGTTGGTGAAATGAATTGGAATATTTATTTTATTTTTATTTGATAAATTAAACATGATAATGTATGACATAAAATCGAATTAACTTGATATGTTAACATAATACATTAGTTTTTGCATTAAAAACATAAAATTAAAATATATTTTACTGTCAATATTTTAAAGTAAATAATATTAATATAAATATAATATTATACCATGTAAAATATTATTTATTGAGTTAAAATTTTCTTATTAATATATAATTGTTAAATGCCCCCTTTCTTTATAGTTAAGTCAACGTGTGCACGAGTGAAAGTCTTGCATTCTTACCATGTTTGATAGGTTAATTTACTGACTATAGATCTTGAAGATACCTTCGAACAAAGTATTTTTAGAACCCAATAGAACTTTGAGATTTATAAATGTACCATTGTGTCTTAATTGGTAAAACCTGTTCAAATTTACACGTTTTCTCGCTCTATTCAGTATCTATGAGAATTGAAAATATTTCCTACATACACACAAGGACTACAACTTGTAAACTTCTGTAAATTAACAAATACTTTCCATTTAAGTTAGTGTTTTTTTTTTCTTTTGTGACTTCATTATTTACATTTTTACAAGATCAAAGTGTTCCCACATCCGACTGTGGAACTAGTCCGTACATTCAAATCGATTGGTCCTAGCACAAGTTTAAATATATAATTTAGTGTTTTGTATAATTAGGGCAATATTTATTTAATATTCATGTTACATTGTTCCGCTCCTCTTTAAGTAATTAATCATAAGCCTAAATTTTAAGGTATTATCTCAGAGTATTAATAAGAAACTTATCATTGAAGCACAGCTTTTCTAATTGACTAGTGTTGACTAGTGGCTTTCTAAACGTCCGTACTTAGTTTGGTGTATAGCTAGCAAAAGAGGACCATTTGAGTGATACGGGCCAGAGTACTTCACTCTTTTGTATGTTATGAAAGACGCTAATATTATTGGCTCAAAAAACATATGCACTCTTTCTCCAAAGACTTAAGATCGTTTAAATATAATTTCTCAACTGATCATCACTATCACCAAAGTCTTCCAAATCTCTGGGACCGTTTATATTTGTCACTTTCAAGTTTTTTTACGCCCCCATCAAGGAGTGTAAAATAGATATGAAGAAGAAAGAGAGAGAGAAAAATAAAAATAAAAGTAAAAAATATGATATGCAATGTGATAGAGACAGAAAAAAAAAAGAAAGAGAAGAATTACTAGAAATAAAATATAAGAGAAATGAAGACTGAGATTATAATTATTGTAAATTTTAGGACACCTTTTCTTGCCAATTAGGAGCAGCTTTGATTCTGATTTATGACACCAGTGATATATGCATCTAGAAACAGGTGACATTGATTAGTACTATAAAAAGTTGGAAACGTAGATGATGCAATACATTGACTCGATATAGTATCGTGGATTCTCCTCTCCCCAATTTGTCATAATTTTGTGTATATTTTTTGAATTCAAAATAGTGACGAGTATACACGGCCAGAAAAATGAGCACGAAAAATTAATGTTCAATAAAATGCACAATCACGTTCTCTGATAATGTTATTTCTCGAAACTGTCAGACCACTAAGATGATCATACCTATATGCACAGCGCGCGCGCACACACACACACACAAACATACACACATAAAAAAAATTAATAATTTCCATGCAAGTTATATATTCATGAGCATCAAGTTATGGCGCTGAGGATTGATGTATAATGCGTGTTGGGCAGGCTGTGGTGACAGATAATTAAAGATGATATTCAAACAGGCACAAATTTGGACATCTGTTTTGAACCGTATATATGATAAGAGAAGACCCTACACCTAGAACTTAATTTGCTATGGTCTCTCTCTCCAATAATGCACACATTGGGCAGCCAATTTTAACCTTTTGGAGGGATTCACAAATGCATGGTAGTGCCTGGAGCCCGCAACTGGATCATATCATATGCCAGCAAAACAGCATCGTTCATAATACCATAAGTCACGATAATCTTATTATTCAAACTCTGCCACCGCTTCAAATTGCTCACCGTTCATATTTTATACATGTGATGTGTGTATATGCATCAACGTGTATATATTCAGAGACGCACGAGCGTGTGGGACACTATCAACCCAAAGGGTCATGGGATTTTTTATTTTTTAATTATTTTCGATAAGGTATGGGGTTTTCTTCGTCAAATTTTCTTTTGAAATTTCACAAGTCTTTACCGTATTGATTCCGCTAAAGTAACAATCATATTCCTGTCTACATATATAGGACTTCCAATCACTGCATCGTAGCTAATAACAAAGTGACAAGCACCCTTTAATATTATATTTGATTATTTCAGTCTTTGACCAGCTTCTCTGGTGGACAACAAAAAGTAAGCCCCGACAAGGACCATACTTTAAAAAAATAAAAAATGGACAAATTATATTTATACAAAAAATATATATAAAAATTATACAACATAAAGGGTTGAAAAGAAAGAAATAATATAAGATAAAATGATTGGTATTATAGAAATTAATAAAGAAAAAAGTATAATAAAAAGTGCTATATGAATTTATGAATAATATTTGCCGTATATCCCAATTTTTGGGGTATATAAGGTGAAAAGGAGCTGAAGATAAGAAGAAAAAAGAAAAGAGAAAGAGAAAAATGTTTAAAAAATGAGATAAAAATATTAAATAAGTGTATCAATATAATTTTCAAAATTTTATTAGTTTTGTTAATATTAGTTCTTAAAGTTAAATTTAAATAAGTAATTAATTAATAATAAAATTTTATTAAAAATAAAAATATTTATTACATTTTATATTTTTACTATAATAAATATTTTTTACTGTTATTAATTATTTAAACTCAATTTTAAAAGTTATCAAAACTATAAATTTATTTTATTGTGGTTGTATAGAAAGAAAATGAGATCATATATATATACATACACACATTTATGTATGTAGATAGATAGGCACTATATCTGTACGTAATAATTAACTAGTTGGACATATGGAAAGGTTATGACCACAAAATATTAGCTTCACTCATTAATCAGCAATAATCGTCATTCAAACTTCTGTTGATGAAAACAGATACATCAATAGGAAAAACAAAGATATGCGGAGGGGGATGGGGATGATCTCAATTCTCAAATCTTTTGCTAGAAATTTCCTGTGCTGTCAACTTCTTTCTATGTTTTCTACCTTGTTTCAACTTTCAACGATAGAAAGAGTTCAAAAAATAATAACAAAAAAATTAAAAATAAAAGAATTTACAGTTCAAATCTGCTGGAACACATCAAAATTTGCTCCCGTTAGATCCTCTGATAGTGACATTAACGAATAGTTAGTGAAGTCTATTGAGTTCTGACTCAGCATCTGTGCTTCTTGCCACGAACCTGTCTTGAACTCTTCAGATTTTACTGCATTGACTTGAAACTGTAACAAAGGATCCAACTTGTTCTCACCATCCCATGAAAACCCAGCATTTTCCATCATGCTACTCATTTGACACCCTGCATAAACACTCATGCTTGAGCTATTGCTGGAACTTTCCTTCATTAAAAAAGAACTGATTTTAGAACATGAGTTGTTATCTGAAAACTCTCCCACCGACACGTGTCCATGGTCAGAACTATCTAGGCATGGCATTGAAGAAAATCCATAGCTTGAATTGGTTCCCGCCTGGTTAAGGCTTGAATCATAACCACACTGATCAGCAACACCCATTTGGAATTCAAAGTAGGACAAAGGGTCCAATGCAGGCTTGCTCATGAAAACTTCACTTGAAGCTTCTTTTACAGTTAACCCACCATCATAATATTTTGAATTGTTCATCACAAGTGGTGAACCCTGGCAGGAAGCTAAAAGTCCTTGAGACACTGGCATTAGCATAGGTGGTGGTGTATCGGTGCTTTCTTTCTCTTCCTTTATTTGATGGTCTTCATTGTTTAAGAGGGGCTTGTGTGTCGCAGGGTCAATCCCTTGCTTCATTAGCTTCTTCTTCAAACATGAATTCCAAAAATTTTTAATCTCATTATCTGTTCTCCCTGGCAACTGTGCTGCAATTTGAGCCCACCTGAACATTGGAAAATAACCATTTCAATTAATAAACCTATTACAATTACAAGCATTAACATATATTAATAATTTATATATGTATCACTGAATGTATTATACTTACCTATTTCCTAGAACTTCATGGAGACTAATGATAAGATCCTCCTCCTGTTGAGAGAACATCCCTCTCTTCAAATCAGGCCTTAAATAGTTTATCCATCTCAATCTGCAACTCTTTCCACACCTTTGTAGTCCTGCAATTCATAAAGTGAGTATTTTATTTTCTGAATTTTGATTAACAAGAGATAAGGAAAGAAGAAAAGAAGATGGGGTATTAATTTGGTACGTGTTATGTATAATTTAATTACCAGCTTGTTTGGGAACTGAACTCCAGCACCCAACACCAAATCTTGTTATGTAATTGAATAGCTTCTCATCTTCTTCAGGGGACCATAAACCTTTCCTTAGTTTTTGCTTTAAACAACAGGAATGGCGACCCATGTGTGCGAGGACAGTGGGAAAAAGGACACAAAGGACAGTGTGTTTTCTTAATTATGGAGGAAAGGCTCTCTGAACTATGAAGTGCTCACTGGCTCTATATAGTGAAACATTACCCGTGTGCTTGTGTCAGTGAAACGTTTCAGGAGGTGGAAACATGTGTGTGTTGTTATGTGGAGAAGGGTAAAACTCCGCAACTAATTGTGTTGATTTAAAGAGAAGAGGGTGCAAATCATACTTAGGATTCAAGTTATGAAAGAGAGAGAGAGAGAGAGAGAGGCCTGAAGAGGAAGGTGAAGCAATCAAGTGGGATTTACGCAAATCCGGTGCTGCTTTTGCATTGGATTGGATTGATTTTTAAGATATCGCTATTTCTAGAAAAATTATAAAAAAAAAAGTACTATTAATAAAGTATAACAGCTCTATGAGCGTGTATTATACAATTGTAATATTTCAGTATCAACATACTATCTATTTCGGCTTATACCTTGTCTGTATCTGGTTATAGCTATTCTGAATTTGGGACTTAAAACTCAATTAAACTTCTTCACCCCTTTTTTAGATGCGTTTGATGGATTTCAGCCTTTATCTCTTTCTACAATCTGACCCATATTATTGTCAATTGAGCCACACACTGTGTGTGTTTATCAACGTTCTATTTCATGCTGTATTTAATATTTAATTCTTATATATCCTTCTTTTAATTTTTCTGTTTTTATATGCATAATTCAAAAATATTTTTAAAATTAAAAGAAACAAAAAATTTACTTAATATAAGAAATATAAAACATTTTCCTGTACTGTATATGTGAGGGGGAATACAGTTAAGCGTTTATAAAATATATTTACTTTTTCTTTATTAATTATCAATCAAGTACTATCGCTTAACTCTAACTTCTTTTTTTTCTAAAAGGTTAAATTTTTCTGATCTAGATAAAAAATATCTTATACAGGAAATGATTTTATTCAGTAGGATCATAACTTAAAATAACTGATTAAACTGTAATATTAATGTTATTAAATCGTTCTTCCCCATGTTAATATTAGATCCTTTTTGTAGCTGTTACTAGTTTAATAATATTATTAATCCTGAATCTTAACCTGTTTGATCTTCGGTGGATTAGCGTTTTCAAAAGTTGTAACACCCTTCCTTTATATATAAATAATTTGTATTTATAAATTATATTATTAAAACATGATTAGAAAAATTGGTAAAATTTGTATATTTTAAAGAAATGGTACAATATGAGAATACAAATTTATATTTCTTGACCAATATACAAAATACCTCAATAAAAGGTTTTACTATGAAAGTAAATAAAAATACATCAAAGACTTGTACATTTATTACATTAAATTTTTATTATATTTGAGTAGTTCCTTTCCCATAAATCATTGACGAGTATGACTCTAGAACAGATCAATCATCTTCATTTTTTCTCTTTCATTACCTGAAAATAATTAGTAAGGGTGAGTACTTCCCACCCCTACTAAGTTTCTTTTAATATAAATTAATTACCAGTAATTAGAGTTATAACCTAATATCCTATTCTAATTCATTATTAACAGGGTACAGTTCATATTTATATTCATCACATCCAAATACATACAATCATCAATTAAAGCACATACCACAATTCACTCATCATACATACATTTCTATATTGACATGTATGTTATACATGTATCATATAATTTCAATTCATATGTCACAATACATATGTCCCAGTAACACCCGTCGATGTACTACAACACACGTATCATAACAACATAAATCGATCTGCTACGATACACATATAATAATCATACATATTCTATATCATATCCTATTTATAACACTTTTTTTTATCATAATTGCCCCTAGAATCTCTTGAGAACTTCCTAGCATAGATAGCTGCTGGTTGGCCGCAACATCACAAATACATGTGTGCCGCCCCGGCCCCTTTAGGCAAAGATATAGTCAAGAGCTTCGTCGGGAGATGAAAGTGTGGCTTGTGAATGTTTATTTTCAATAATTTATTGTGCACCCTTTTTATTGTTAACATTCACCATCCTCATTTCTCCAAGATTTCTCAAATCTTGTCCTTAACTCTATACCCCAGTGTATCGCTGTACTATTTATACTTGTTCTCTTTCTCAATATTTCTCATTCTACATTCTTTTTATTAATCAGCATGTCATGATTCATGAGTCACAATTTATACAAATTCATGGATTACAACATATATGATAACACGCCCTTCAATGTGTTATAATTTATATCATAATCACCCTGTTTCAAGTTACTTGGACTTATGCATTATAATCACGCGTCATATTCTTTTTCATTCATATTCTCATTACTCATTCATATATTACATGCTTTCAAAATCAACCAACACTTCAATCATTCCGATGATTCTGTTCATATTGTATACATTTCAGCTATCAAATCATATCTATACTTGTTGCATCATGTCAGTCCAACATATAAAGTTATCATACAATATCACATCATGCAATCAATACAATACATCAATCTTAGCACAGAGATTACCACACAATATCATACCATACAATTAGTATAATATGCCAAAGGTCAGACACCTTCGGACTCAGCCCAACTCGTACAATCTCAATATAATCTTCTAACCTAAAGTTCATTATTTTGTGTCTCTTATTACTTAACTCATATATATCTTAAGTAACTCAGTTCTAAAACCTCTTAATGCTACTCAAGCCCATATTTTTCTCTAAAAATATGGTTTTATTAGTTTAAAATAAACCCAAAACCTTTCTTTATATCAAAATACATTTTCATCGTATGACTTCATAGAAATTATAAATTATTACTAAAATAGGTTACTCAGATTCTCCAAAGATCACTATATATGTATATAAAACTAAAGCTCGAGAATACTCCCTTTACCTTGAAATGGATCTCAAAAACTATGTTCTTTGTGTGCTCTAAAGAAAAACTCCACGTCTCGATCCAAAATACTATCCAAAGACAAGAGTTATTCTTAACATCACAAGGTATATTTCTATTATGAAAAAGAGAAAAGAGAAATAGGATGGAGATTCAAGGGATGAGCTCTAGAAACTTACTTAGATATGAGAAGAGCGGATGTTTGAGCTCAAATATAAAGGAGATCCAGAGTTAATGGAGGTTTTCTCTAAGAAGGGAGAGGGAGAGAACAAAGAGGATGGAGAGAGATATGTAATTTGGATGGAAATGAAGATTTTAGGGCGAGAGTTCTTTAAATATCTCTCAAACTCATGACTTTCTTGTTACAGTGAGAAGTTCTCGTTATAGCAGAAAAATCAGAAGTTTTCTTCATTTGCTATTTGTCATTCTAGTACGGCGAGAGCTCCTCGCTACAGTGAGAGCAGCATTCTCGCTGCAGCGAGATTTGTCTCGCTACAGCGAGATATCTTATAGTTCACATCAATTAAACACTTCTAATTTCAAATAATATGCACAAATAATTAACATTAATTGCAATAATAATAAATTACAAAAATGAGGGTGTTACAAAAGTGATCTCATCTCATAATTTAGTTTTTTAAATTTTTTTTATCATCTCACAATGTCATTTTGACATGGTTATATTTATGAAACGGGAATTTTTTTTTATAAATTTCTTATATTTAGTTTACAAATTTAGAGAAAAAGTAAAGTTAAGTTTTCTTCTCATTTATTGATTTTATCTATCCTCTAAATTTGGAAGGATTTGAAAAAGTGAAAATTTTTTTGGTTAAATAAATAAAATAATCTTAAGTTAACATCTTTATTTGAGATTATCTTAAATATATTATAATAATTTTGTTTGTTTTATTCTTTTTTCTTCCTCTTTATTTATTTTTTTAATGCTTATATTTTTCTCCTCTTCTCTAAAATAAACAGAGTGCAAACCACACAATATAAATAGTTTTTTTAAAATAATCAAAAAATAAAAAAAGTATACAAATATAAATAGTTTTTGTAAAAATATTTACAAATTATATATACAAATTGATTTATATTTGAATAAAGAGAGTGCATTTCTTAAAAATATACCTTTAAATTTTTACGTTTAAACTGTATACTCTTTTATTATTATTATATTATTTACCACGTTTATTACTTTTTCTCTTTTTTCACTTCAGTCAGTATACTGTAAAGGATGTCAAATGGTCGTTATGCCTTCACAAAACGATGCTCTCTGTGTATCAAAACTAATTTGTGTAATTTACATTAAATTTAATTTTTACACACTGTTAGTTAGACATTTTAATTCTATCAAGTGACTATAAATTATTTTATATATGACTTTTAAATAATTAGTATAAATTTTAATAATTTTTTATTATATAATAATTTTAAAGGCTTTTTTTGTAAACATTTTGAAAATAACTTTCGCAAAAGATTATAATTGAAAGGATAAATACATAGTATTTATACTAGTTCACCTTTAAAGTAATGGTTACATCTAATCTTTTATCTTAGTTAAGAGTATTAAGAATTTGTATACAAATAAATATCTCATCATCAAAGTATTCTTGTACAAATCCCTCCAAGCTCAAATAAATCACTAAGTATTTTTTTTAAACACCATCTCTTTAGACAAACAAGCACTCACTTACTATTATCATTTAGGTTGTATTTGGACAAAATATTTTAAAATTACTGCAATTCATGTATTTGGATAGTAAAAAAAAGTAAGTTTAAAATACTACAAAATTTTAATTAAATAATTTTTATGTTAAATAGAAAGAATTTCAAATTACTTATTTTTAGAGATAATTTAAAAGCATTTTTTATTATACTTAATTTTTTGTATTTATCATTTATAATTTCTATCACAATCGACTCTCACTTTTAAGTATCCCTCATTATTGTTTTCATATTTTCTAAAATTTTAAAACACCCCATCCAAATATAAAATTAGTATCTTCAGACTAACACATTTTTTACACTAAAAGGAAAATTTATATACATAAAGAAGGTTTAATGAATATTTTTACTTTTACTATTACAAAAAAAAAAGCATTTTACAACAAAATTTTACATTAGTTAATAAGTAACTAATTTAATAAAATGCATGTTGTAACATCCTAAAATAAAAAAATGCGTACAATGTATATTCTTTTATTAATAATTTAATATAAAATACAAAATTTACTATATAATAGACTTTATTATAGCAAATTTATTAAGTTCTCATTTTAATAAATGTATTTAGCTAAGAATTT